AGGAAAAAGATGAAGCTAAAATAAAACAAGATCGTGTCTGGTAGGCAGGCAGGCACTGTGCCAGGAAGGTGCTGGGCAGAGCAGGAGTCGGCGTTTCAGCAGACGAGGGAATGGATACAGGATTGGAAGGAGCTGCGGCTCTTGGTCAGCCACACTGTGGAGTACTATTAATAACTTTATGACCCCTTTGAAGATCTTTCATGATGTGAGTAAACAGCTGCACAGAGGTCTCCAGGCACAGCAGCTGGGTGGGAACCGAGGTCCGCGGACCTGGCTGGGACCTGGCTGGGAAATGGCTGGGACCCGGCTGGGACCTGGCTGCAGCCATTGCTCCTCTTGGGTCTCAAGGGGAAGGAAAGCTGAGGAGTCTCTCACGGCTGCTGAAGGACCCCAGCGGATTCACTTGAGGAAGGCTGGGCATCCTGTGTGCAGGGAGGGGTCCTCAGGTCCGTGTCTGAGCCTGAGAGGGAGGCTGGGGGCTCCAGCAGGAGTGGTGCAGGACAAAGTAGTTGACCGTTCGATTCTATTCCAGTAAGGGATGACGTCGCGCTTCATAGCCACAGAAGATGAGTTTTCCAATCTGTGTGCTCTTGGCAATGGCAGAGGGGCTCCCAAAGCCCCCATGAGGCACATTCGGGCAGAAGTAGAACAAAAGCCCCTCAGTTTTCCAGGAGTGGATCCTCAGGCTTGGAGTTTCAGCCCTGCTCCCAGAGGCCAGGGGAGGCCAGGGGAGGCCAGGGGAGGCCAGGGGAGGCTAGGCAAAGCTAGGGACCTGGGACCAGGCGGAGCCTGGTGGGACTGTTGGTCCACGCTGGCAGGGAACCACCCACAAGCTGAAGCATTCTCTCTGGAGGCACTCTGTTTAGTCTCTGCGAGTTTGTCCTCAGCGTCCAGACCGGCAGTGCCGTCTACCTGACTTTAGAGGACACCACATCAGGTGCCTCCAAGGTGAAACGTTTTTTTTTTCTTTTTCTTTTCTTTTGTGGTGAAACAGTGGTTGCCTTTCAGCCTCAGTGCAGAAGTAAAAAAGTAAGCTGCTATTTGCATTTTAAAATTTGATTTTCTGAATTTGAATGTTTCTCACTACATTTCCTTTGCTTTCTTAGCAAGAAGTTCTGGCAGAAACAGGGCTGGGAGCAGCCTGGCCAGTCTCATGACCAGGAGAGAAAGGGGCTGTCCTGCAGGGTGCTTAGTGCTTAGCCAGGGGCTAGCATCTAAACTCTGGGGCTCAAACCCAGTTCTGATTTCTGATTCTGCTGGAAAACGTGGTGACCTGGAGGCTGCTCTCCGTTCCTCATGCCCACAGTTGCTGCAGCGGAGGGGCAGCAGCCCAGAGGGAATGGCGCACCCCACACAAAACATGCCCGCCAAGGGTGGCTGTCTCCTGGCCCCGTGGATGCTGGGATCCAACTCTGGTGCCATCAGTCTTGTTCAGAGGACAGCTGGCCTATGGTGGCTACACTCAGGCAGGGAGTACCCCATGAATGCCAGGGAGTACCCCGAAAATGCCAGGGAGTACCCCATGAATGGAGACTTGGTTATATTTGGTTATATTTACAGAATCTAAAAAGTGTGTGTGGGGAACCAGCTTCCTTCTCTAGTTGAGTCTTCTGCTCCCTAGACAAACCCTCTTAATCCACCCAACTGGTTTCGCCAGGTGTTCGATGCCTAAGTTCCCTTGACCAGGTGAGAGAGTGGCTGATTTTGTCTTCCCAGAAGTGGCAGCTGGTTGCCAGGGAGGGGATCAGGCCCTGGGAGGGTCAGCTCTGGGACCTCTGCATGTGGGAACAATGCCCGTGGTCCAGACGCAGCCCGGGAACTGCTCCCTCGGCCCCCGCAGGCCCGTGGCAGGCCGTGGCTTGGCTGGTGGGTGTTTGCTGAGGTGAACTAAATAGGAACGTGGTTTCCTTGCAGGCGGGCAACTTTCTGACCACTCGGCTCCTCTCTGTGATGCTCGGTTTCTTAAGCATGAAGGAGAGAGCCTTAGACTGGTGGTGAGTAGCTGGGGAAGAAGACTCCTGGCCACCAGCTGTGACAGAAGACCCATGGACCAAGCCCAGGGGCTGTAGCTGCTCCAGTGTGCCTGAGGCAGGACTGGGCAGGGGCCTTGTCCATGTGCCCAGCTGCCAGGCCCCACAGGGCCACAGTCTTCCTCTGTTCTTATCTGCACCATCTAGGCAGCTTCCTGAGTTCCGTGAACCCCCGTCCTCTCAGTCCTACCTGTGTAATGGTAACATGTGTGTCCAGGGATGTTGGGAAAAACAGGAGGGCAAGGCTTTGAGGGTGTGGGGTGGGCAGCTTTTCCAGGTGAGCGAGGAGCGAGCCTGTGACGCTGGCCAGGATTTGAGCAGACCCACCACCCTGCATGGTGCAGTCTCAGGATTCACTGTCCCCACCTTCTCGAACGTCAACACTGCCCCATTCCCTGGCCTGCCTCCTGCTTCCTGCCAGGCCCAGGTTCTATCCACATGTGGACGCTGGTGACTCTTATTTCTCAGTTGCTACTTAATTTGATGGGCTCTGTCCTTTCTTCTGGAGTCTTGAGATCACATTGGTCTTACTTCCCTACTAAGTCACTTAGCAGATACTGGCTTCGCTCTCGCCCACCTCCCTGGATGTGGCCCTCACTCAAGCCTTCCCTGTAAGCCTGGACACAGTGGGGTCCTCAGGACCCACTCCTCTGTGGCTCCCTGTCACTCTGTCTGCTGTGGTACCTGCAGTCTGCCCCGTCCCAGTGTCAGGCTGAAGGCTCCGGGGGCCCCTCTGCTGACCACCTCTGGTCCCAGCTTCCAGTCTTGCTGCAGCGTCAGGGCCAGAGAAGGCAGAGGGCTCAGGGAGCCCCTGCTCAGCACAGCCCCTGCCTCACCCACCAGGAGCAGCCCACGCACCACAAAGACACAGAGCAGCGTCCCCTGGGCGCGGCCTTGTTCAGCAGGCTCCATTGCACACGGGCTTCCGTCACTGGCCGCTTCTCCCTTCCAAACCCCTCTCCCTGCAGTCAGTGCCCGAGGTCTGAATGTGCGCTTGCAGTGGCTGAAGCTGCCACTCTCACCCCCTACCCCCAGGGCACAGGCTGTGACGTGCCAGCCCTCCTCTGAGTCCTCTCCCAAGGGACCCTTCGGATGATTCATTTCATCTGTTTGCTTTATTCCACCCCAAAAGTGCGTTCCAACAAATACCACATGCAGTTTAACATGTCTTCACAAGTTTCCTGAAGCACACTGTCAGTTTGTCCTGAAGGTAGGTGTAAACTCCGTGTGCTTTTTAGTGATACTGGTTGTGTCTGTTTTTAAAGTCGTGCCGTCCGTCTTTCTGTCCCTGGCCCATCTCAATGAATAGCTTTAAGTTTTCCCTTTTTCTCAGTAAAACAATTTTCTCATTTGTCTTTCCCTAACTTCTAATGAGGTCAAGCATTTTCTCATGTTTCGACACAGAAAAATACTGCAAAAACTGTCCATTTGTATGGGAACTTCAATTTACCTCCCTGCTCCCTCCCTTCCAATGTTGTGGTACTGGAGATGGAGCCCAGGTCCGCATGAGTGCAAGGCAAGTGCCCCACCACTGAGCTGCAGCCAGCATGAGTGCAAGGCAAGTGCCCCAGCACTGAGCTGCAGCCAGCATGAGTGCAAGGCAAGTGCCCCACCACTGAGCTGCAGCCAGCCCTTGCTCATCTTGGGACAGAACCTCACTAACTTGCCCAGGTTGGCCTCAAACTTGGGATCCTCCTGCCTCAGCTCTTGAGTAGCTGGGAGTACAGGTGTGTGCTTGTAGCTGGCTATTGTTTCCCTAAATAGTCTTTTCCCCCAGAATTGATTTGATTAGTTTTTAGGGAGAAAAATGCTGAGAGCACAAAGAGCAGAAGAGTCAGAGCGGCCTGAGCCTGCCTGGGCCACGTGGCCTGTGGCACAGCGGTGTTCGGGAGGGGAGACGCACAGTTCCACAGCAGGCCTATGGGAAAGAAGGAGACGGGACAGTCCAGGGGCACAGAGATGAATCTGGGGGAGGGGTGAGCTGGGACTGTAACAAAGGCAGGGCGCTTAGTCCCGGTGCCTCTGGGTCCTGTGGTGTCCGCACACAGCTAGGGAATGAGAATCACGCTTCCCTCACGTGATATGAGTACCGGACAGCTGTGGGCACTCAGGTGCCTGCACCAGAACCCGCTAGCTGTGGAGGGCCGGCCGCGTGCAGCCAGCAGCACTGTGCCCACCTGGCACAGAGAGCACATGTGCACCCCGTGGTCACACCTGTCCTGGGTCATGGCCAAGATGTCACTCAGGGACGCTCTCCTGCATAGCTGCCCTGCCCCGAGCTCACAGCACTCACGGAGGACTCAGCTCACTGCAGGGCCTCCCAGGGCAGGTGATGGACATGCCCATCAGGAGCATTTCCCAACCCACAGAAAGAGACCTGAAGAAACTGCCAGCAGCCCCGGGCCAGAGCCAGAGAGTTCTGCAGGGTGCAGGGCGAGGGCAGGCCTGAGCTGTGGCCAGTGTGGGGCACTGGGTGGCGGTGCTGAGTCCCTCTGGCCACCAGGGAGTGAGGCCAGGAGGACGTCCTGCTGGGAAGGAGTGCAGAGTCCTGACATGGACAAAGGGGTTCCATGGCAGCACCAGGAAAGGCAGGGCCACTCACAAGTGCAGAGGTCCCAGAATGTGCCAGCAAGCCAGGGGGCAGGATGGCCTGAGGGGACGAGGAGGGGCCAGCTGGGAGGGCAGGCCAGGCTCCTCTTCCTTCTTGTAGACCGTGGCCCTCCACCTACCTCTGAGGGGAAGAGGCTCTGGGTAGAACATGGAGAGGGCAATGGCTGAACGAAGGCCTGGCAGGGCAGAGTGCAGCTGCCCTCGAGGGGGTCAGGGTGCTGAGCACAGAGGGCTTGGGAAGAGTGGGGGTGCCCAGCAGCTGCTTTGAAGGCCTGAGGAAGTGGCTCCCCCACAGAAGCAGCCTGGAGCAGACCCCACCAAGGTGCAGAAGGTAGCTGTGCTCCTGAGGAGCAGCCCTACCTTGCAGGAAGCGGTGTCCTCTGAGGACGGAGGCAGCGTGGCCCCTTGGGCAGGACGCGGCCCAGGGCCGGGCTCTCTCTAGGTGCTGCTCCTGGTCCTCCCCAGCCTGGGACAGTGGCAAAGTCACTTAATATCTCTGTGCCCCGACTTCTCCATCTGCAACACAGGAAGAACAATGCACACCACCTAAGGATTCCAGGAGCACACAAGGCAGCAGCCTGTGCAGGCACCCAGGGCCGTGCACGGGCTCCCCCAGGAGCCAGACCTTTCCTGGCCTCACCCTGGATGGGTGCACTGAGGCCTGCCCTCCCAGCAGTGTGAGGAGCCCCAGGGCCAGCCCCGCCCAAGTAGCAGCCTGTGGGCTGTGAGAAGGTGGTCGGGGAGCAGCAGCCTCCAGATGCTGCACGTCCCCTCCCAGGTCCGAGGTAGGAGGGGTTCATGCAGTGGGCTGGGGGGAAATTCCTCATTTAGCCCTGGTTCCCCAGGGGCTGCAGAGCTGGGCTGTTCTCCTCCAAGACCGTGGGGCTAGAAGAGTCTAAACGGCTTTCTCTCATACACTCTGCATTAGCATCAATTAAACGTCAGGCTGATTTTGTGGATGAGGAATGTGATACTCAGGGTGCAGCGTTTGCTCCAAGGTCCCCCGATAGTCGGAGGGCAAACCGTGACTGAACCAATGTGTCCTCTCTGCAAACCCACGCTGCTCACGTGACAAGCCTGCTCCCTCCCCCCCCCCAGTGGAGCCAAGAGGGCTGAGATGTGGAGCAGGGACAGAGCTCCTCTCGTCCTGGAGGAGCCCTGGGCAGTGGCGGGGTGGCTGGCCCCCAACAACTCCCAGCATGTTCACTGTTTCACCCCTTTTGAACGACTCAGCGTCTCTGGCTCTTGTGGTCTGCGGGGCTGACAACCTCTGGGTGGTTAAACCTCCACAGATCAGGGGAAGAAGAGCCTGCAGGTGCCGGACACCGGCCCCCGGGACCGGACCTCACTCCCTCCGGCTGCACTGCTCACCACAGCCGCCAGTGATGCCGGCAGCCGTGGAAGGCCTCAGCTGAGCTGCAGGCTCCAGAGCGCCTCAGATAGAGCCACAGGGATCACCACCTCCTGGTGGTCTCCCTCCACACCCTGGCTCAGCAAGCTGCTGCCCACAAGCCAGCAGTGCCACCAAGTGCTGCTGACCACTGGGCACTGAACTCCAAACCCCTTCCTTGGGAACTCAGTGTTCCTCAGAAGATAGTCCACCACACAGACAGTGAGTGAGGCGGTGTGTCCTTGTCTTCCCAGGACACTGCCACCCGGACCACAGAAGATCTGAAGCCAGGCCTATCCTGGCAGCGAAATGGTGGCCTTTTCTCTTTGACCGAAGAATGTCTCCCTGCTCCCTCCTTTGCCTGGATTGGCGCCCGAGCTTCCTTGCAGACTCCTCAGTTCAAGGACCATGCATGACCACAGAGCAGGGACAGTCCCCCAGTCTTTGTGTCTCCTGAGTCCAGGCCTGACTGTTGGCTGATGTGGGCTGTGGATGCGGGGAAGGAAGAGAGGGGGGAGAAGGAAGGAGGAAAAGAAGGGGAACAAAACAAAACAAGAAAGAGATCCTTCCCGCTGAGCTGTGAAGGGGATTCTAATGTCATTGATGGGCTAATGCTTTAAGTGACTCAACCAACCAGTGAAACTGCACAGTGGTCAAGTGACTGTACGACAGAGCTGGGTCACTGCAGCCCTACCACGTGGTACCTGCAGGCGGGAGCATCTTGTTTCATGAGCACCAATTTTCTGCAGTTTTCAATTTCTGAATAGACAGCACACTAATGGCCTAACTCATTGTTAGGTGCTCACTAAGTGGCAGTCGGTAGTGACACTACTGTCACTGTGTACTAGTTTGTTGATATGCTCTTATCTCTGATTTCAGCCTCTGTTACAAATGTGATGCTGTAACAAGTGGCGAAAGCTAATGCAGAACTCTGCTCAGCAGGGGGCGCTGTTAATGCCTCGGCTGAGCTCTCTGGCCATGCCCTCTGCGCCAGGCACTGTGCGGACTTCAGTCCTCCGTGTGAAACAGCAGGGCATCCAGGCTTCATCTCCCCGCTGGTCATGTCCAGCTCCCTGGAACGATTCTTGGGAGCCGGCTCACCGTGCTCTGCTCACAGCTGAAGTCCCTGATCATCAGCAATGGCATCTGATTGCTGACCAACACACCAATGGTGTCTGACCTGCCCGGCCTTGCTGGGGTGGACAAGCCAGCCTGTCAAAGCCCAGAGGAGTGACTTGCTGTGCCCAGGCCACAGCTTTGGTGGCAGAGCCAGCCTGGAACTGAGCCTCCGGCCTTCATGGGGTGGGGCACTTATACTTAAAAGCTGCCTCCACCAGAACTCGGTCGGTGTGACCTCAGCTGTCAATCCTGTCTCTCCAGAGAAGTCCAGGTTCAGCTGGTGTGCGTGTCCTACATGGCTGGTGACACGCTGGAGGAAACTGGCCCCCTGCCACCAACTCCTGCTAGATTGACAGAAATGCTCAAAAATGAGGACAATTCTCAGAGGGAAGGGGGAGTCTGCCTGCAGAGGCTCCCAGGAGGAAGGTTGGACCTGGGCGTGGGCGCCTGCGGCTTCTGCAGGCGGCCACCTGCTTCTGCACACAGACCTGTGCCTGAGGTTCTGTGGCAGGTGGTGGTGGCATCATTCGCTCGTGAACTGTTTAGGACTCAGATTTGGCAAGAAGTATCTGTTAAATGCCCAGGGGCATTGGGTTGTGCTGGAACTCTGTCCTTTACCAGAACTCTGGGCTCCTGTGCCTCTTTTCCCTGCTCCAGATTACCTGGAAGTAGTAGCTACGTGCTAGGGAGGCTGGGGCACAGCCTCATTGCACTTTCTAAGTGGAAATGGAGATGTCTGAGAGCAAGTGAAGAGCTCGCTGTTAGCATCTCCGTTTCACTCAGGGGTGGGATGTGCAGGAATCCTGTTTATCTCTGAGCAGTTTGGGAGGGTTGAGTCAAGCTGCCCCTATCTAGTGGCAGACTGGGGATTTAATACTTCAATAATCAGCCCTGTGCTTCTGGGCCACCTTTCAGGGGCACGCTACACGTTCCTTCCAAACAGCAGTTTAATTAATGCTCACAGCAGCCCAGAGCTCTGCGTAAACATGATAATCCACCTCCCCTGCCCCTGGCTCCAGGAAAGCTGTCATCTCAGGAGGAAGCAAACAGGCAGGGCTGCCAAAATCACCCCACAGAAGGTGGGATACTGGGCTCTGGGTGCCGGGAGGCCTTCACCCTCCATGCCAGCCCACCCCTGTCTCAGAAAGAAGCACCAGCAGCTGTGTCTCCAGAGATAAGCCCCTCCTTAGCCCTATCATAACCCAAGGCCTTGGCTCGGGCCTGCAGGCCACAAAGGCCAAGAAAGGAAACAAGATGACGTGTTTAGGTCAAAGAATGACCCTGAGAATGGCAGTGAGGGTAAATGCTAAATGAGCAGAGACAAGGACCCGGATGCTGAGGGATGGAGAGCCACAGAGAGGAGAGAGATTCCCCAGGAGTTCTCACAAAACAGGGCGGAGTTGCTCAGCAGTGACCTGGGGACAGGCCAGAGCAGGATAGGTCCTGCTGATCAGTGACCTGGGGACAGGGCAGGGGGAGGGAGGTCCTACTGATCAGTGACCTGGGGACAGGGCAGGGGGAGGGAGGTCCTGATGATCAGTGACCTGGGGACAGGGCAGAGGGAGGGAGGTCCTGAAGATCAGTGACCTGGGGACAGGGCAGAGGGAGGGAGGTCCTGATGATCAGTGACCTGGGGACAGGGCAGGGGGAGGGAGGTCCTGATGATCAGTGACCTGGGGACAGGGCAGGGGGAGGGAGGTCCTGATGATCAGTGACCTGGGGACAGGGCATGGGGAGGGAGGTCCTGATGATCAGTGACCTGGGGACAGGGCAGGGGGAGGGAGGTCCTGATGAGCAGTGACCTGGGGACAGGGCAGAGGGAGGTCCTGCTGAGCAGTGACCTGGGGACAGGGCAGGGGGAGGGAGGTCCTGCTGAGCAGTGACCTGGGGACAGGGCAGAGGGAGGGAGGTCCTGCTGAGCAGTGACCTGGGGACAGGGCAGGAGGGAGGTCCTGATGATCAGTGACCTGGGGACAGGGCAGAGGGAGGGAGGTCCTGCTGAGCAGTGACATGGGGACAGGGCAGGGGGAGGTCCTGATGATCAGTGACCTGGGGACAGGGCAGGGGGAGGGAGGTCCTGATGAGCAGTGACCTGGGGACAGGGCAGGGGGAGGGAGGTCCTGCTGAGCAGTGACCTGGGGACAGGGCAGGGGGAGGGAGGTCCTGATGATCAGTGACCTGGGGACAGGGCAGGGGGAGGGAGGTCCTGATGATCAGTGACCTGGGGACAGGGCAGGGGGAGGGAGGTCCTGCTGATCAGTGACCTGGGGACAGGGCAGGGGGAGGGAGGTCCTGCTGAGCAGTGACCTGGGGACAGGGCAGGGGGAGGGAGGTCCTGATGATCAGTGACCTGGGGACAGGGCAGAGGGAGGGAGGTCCTGAAGATCAGTGACCTGGGGACAGGGCAGGAGGGAGGTCCTGATGATCAGTGACCTGGGGACAGGGCAGGGGGAGGGAGGTCCTGATGATCAGTGACCTGGGGACAGGGCAGGGGGAGGGAGGTCCTGCTGAGCAGTGACCTGGGGACAGGGCAGGGGGAGGGAGGTCCTGCTGAGCAGTGACCTGGGGACAGGGCAGGGGGAGGGAGGTCCTGCTGATCAGTGACCTGGGGACAGGGCAGAGGGAGGGAGGTCCTGATGATCAGTGACCTGGGGACAGGGCAGAGGGAGGGAGGTCCTGCTGATCAGTGACCTGGGGACAGGGCAGGGGGAGGGAGGTCCTGCTGATCAGTGACCTGGGGACAGGGCAGGGGGAGGGAGGTCCTGCTCATCATTGATCTGGGGACAGGGCAGAGGGAGGTCCTGATGAGCAGTAACCAATGGACAGGGCAGTGTAGTGGACTATTTCATCCCTGGGACAGCATCTTCCTGAAGGCACAGGGGTGGACCCCTGTTGCCACGGTGGGAAGACACAGCTGAGCCCTGATGGAGCAGGGAGTCCAGTACCTGTCCCTCACAGTTCCCTGTAAGCTCTGGAGTCAGAGCTGGGTGGCGTTAGTATTTCTAGA